TTCACATAAAGTTGCACACAATTTTCTTTTCATTTTTCACAGTAATTTGTGAACGCGAACCACACATCTTCGTGAATAATGGGAACCCCCCGTTTAATCTAGGGACATGTTAGTGCCTATATTTTATTACAGATACTCAGTACAATCCTTTCATCATTAGAATGGCTTCCTATGATCGGTCCAGTTTGCCAGCAGCCTAACACCATGGGATGAAATGTAAGCATTAATTGCTTTTAAGATTAACTGACAAGGGCTGAAACGATCAGACCAAGGACAGAAGAAGAAAAAGAAGAAGAAGAAGAAGAAGAAGAAGAAGAAGAAGAAGAAGAAGAAGAAGAAGAAGAAGAAGAAGAAGAAGAAGAAACAATACTTTTCTCACTTTGGGGGGGATTGCTGGTTATATGATGTAGTTTCTACTTTTCTTCCTCCTCCCCCAAGCAGGCAACCCATTACAATATCTAGACATAGCACTTCAAAACAATTTAAGGATTTGTGGAACTCCCCTTACCACCTCAGCTCAACCTCTGCATGTACAACTGGAACCAAAGGTGAACTCCTAACCTACAGTAAATCAACCATAAGATGCTTCCGAAATAATGCAATTCATATGCACAAAACAATAGCCATAAATGTTTATTAGTGGCTCTAATTTGGGGAGGAGGAACCTTCAAAACCAACCTGTCATGAACTATACAAGTGAAGATCAACAGCATCAGTTCAAAGATATAAAGTCAAAGGTTTGTCCATTTGCACACCTGATGACCCCTTCCATCCTGCGTTGCTTTAGTGTTCTGGGTACCAGGGATGCCACTGGGAAGGGGCTAGAAAGTGGGCAGCCTTTTTTTAGCTCAGGCTTGCCAACAAAGGTGATACTCAGCAAGTTAAAGAAACAAAGGAGCAAGAGGCTCCCTGCGGATGCTGCAAGATATTTAAAACAAACACATGACAATACAGTAAATTGATTTAAGAGGATGCTGCGAGATGTAGTAAGCCAAAAGAGCATGCTTTCCATGTTGATTTCCATCATCTGATGAGGATTTCGCTAGTTCAAAAGGATTGCCAGAATTCCTGTCCGACAGGAGTAAGGAACCCATGGGTTTCTTAGATGTTGCTCACCTACAACTCCCATCACCCCTCACCATTGACAAAGCTGCCTGGGGTTGATGGGAGCAGGAGTCCAACAATATCTGGAGGGACAGGGATCCTCCATCCCTGCTGTGAGCAATTACACCACTATTTAATAGGGAAACCCTACATGAAGCTGTGAAATTCCCCCCAAACAGATGATGTCAGGATTGCTGCATCAATCCCAAGGCCACTGTATGATTCTGACTGCCACAAGGTCACTGGATACTTTGCTTGAGTAAAGAGCAAACCAGAGCAGGCATTTTCAAATACTGATTGATTTTGTTCTGCCCAGCAGCCCAAGTGATTTATGCGCTAGCAATTACCAGTTTCTACAAGGTGTTAAATGAATAGGGGAGCGGCAGAACTTGCACTATATTCCCTGCAGAAAACAAAAAGTGCTCCTTTAAAAGGGATACACGCTTGCTTTTATGCAGCTGATGTAGCGGATTGTGCTTATAAAAATCTCAGGCAGCCATTATCTAATTACAGTGATGGATCACCCATTAACAGGCAAGCCTTCTTTCGAAGAAGGTGGTGATGGTGGTGAGAGAAGCAATTTCTTTCTCAAAACACAAACCGAATGAACATTAAGATTCAGATGCGCAAAAGCCTGAGATAACAGCTTGGTAGCTCACTAATGGTGTCAGACAACATCTGTAAAGTACAGGGAAGGAACAGACTGCGAAAAATAAATGGCCATTAAGAACATTGTGCTCAAGAGCCTGAAAACACAGAGGAGAGGAGAAACTTCCACACCTGCAGCTACAGCAGTGTTTTCCTCAAGGGAAGGATGCAGCCGAGAGAATGAACACAGGCTGCACATGTGGAAGGTGCCAAATTTAGTCTCCCAGGCCAAACTAGGTGTGGTATCAATTAAAGGTATAGGGACCCCTGACCATTAGGTCCAGCGGCGCTCATCTCGCTTTATTGGCCAAGGGAGCCGGCGTACAGCTTCCGGGTCATGTGGCCAGCATGACTAAGCCGCTTCTGGCAAACCAGAGCAGCGCATGGAAACGCCGGAGCGGTACCTATTTATCTACTTGCACGTTGACGTGCTTTCGAACTGCTAGGTTGGCAGGAGCAGGGACTGAGGAACGGGAGCTCACCCCGTCACAGGGATTCGAACCGCCGACCTTCTGATCAGCAAGTCCTAGGCTCTGTGGTTTAACCCACAGCGCCACCAGTGTCCCACTTGTGGTATCAATTACATGGATGCAATTTACAATGCTTGGTTATGTGGGGACGGGCATTCTGTAAACAGTTGCTACAGGAAAGCCTAAGTAACCTTGAGATCACGGGATGGGGTGGGGGGGTGGGATGGGGAAGTTGAGCTTGAGATCCAGGGCCCATTGCAGAAGCCCCAGGGCTCTCCGCACCTGCTATTCACTATCAACTCCCCTCCCTGCCATGGTCCTGGCTGAAACACCAAATGAGATGCAAATAGCAAGCTTCAGAAAGCCTGATTTCCATTCAAAGCATTTGTCTCTTTGGATCTTCCTGTAGCGCCACTGTCTTTTACTAAAACCGTGAACAGTGTTTTGGGCTATGATTGCAAATGAGGGGGGAGGAGATGCAAATGAGCTGGAAAGCATTGGGAAATTGTGTATGCCTCTGTTCTGTAATTAATTTTTTTAAAAAAAACTCAGTTAATCAGGAGGAGCGTAAAGAGAACAGAACAACAAGAGGTTTGTTCACATGGTATACAGTACAAGCTGCCTCTATAGAAGTACAAGTATTTGTGTGAAGGAATGTACACTTTCTGTGTACATGAGCATACACTTGTTGACTGTAATGTGTCAACACCTTTAGGAACGCAATAGGCAACAGCTGCTCACCCCTGTACTGTATTTCCATAATTCAGCCAAGATTCCAGTTACCTTGACTTTATTCTTATTGCTGTCACATTCCATTGCTATCCTTCTTTTCCCCTGTAGGGAGACTTAGCAGCACACAGGCGAAAGAAGATATTGAAACTGAGAAAACAGTTTTGTAACAGCTTTAGGCAAGGAAAAAGAAGAAAGGATGTTGTACTCAAGTGATTCACTGCTTCCAAATGCCGCATCTCTCCCCCCCCCCCCCCGTGAAGGTTATCATCCTGGGAAATAAATCTATAATCCTGAAATGTATGGCATGAGTCACATCCATAATATAGGAAGATAATGCTGAATTCTCATGAAACATTTTGAATGGAGGCAAGTTGTAGGAGAAGACAAATTAGCTTTGCAAATTAATTCTAGGGCATTTTTGAGCTCAGAACTATAGAGAGAAATCTGAAGCATTACACTAGATGCTGCAGTAATGCCACCTTTGATATATTCTGATGAGGACTCAGTAATATTGACAATGATATTTATTTTAAACATGTAAGTACTGTACTTGGCATTTATATGGTGCTTTACAGCGTGATCGCATGGGCTAACTCAGAGGGGAGCTTTATGTGACTCATGACCCCAATATATTAAGGACTGCCTCTCTGCACATGAACCAACAGGGACCTCATGATCATCATTGGAGTCCCTTCTGTGCCCTTTCTGAGGGAGGTGCAGAAAGTGGCGACATGAGAACAAGCCTTCTCAGAATGCTCTCCCCAGCATTCTCAACATCTGTTTTTAGGGGGCAAGCAAAAACAGTTTTATTCACCCAGGCTTTGGGACGTTACTTTTCTGCTCATTACTTTTCGGACAGTAAGAGCTGCTCAACAGTGGAAGAGGCTCCCACAAGAAGTGGAGGACTCGCCTTCCGTGGAGGTTTTTAAGCAGAGGTTGAATGATCATCTGTCATGTACAATCTAATTAAGATTCCTGCACTGCAGGGGGTTGGAATGGATAGCCGTCAGTGTCCTTTCTAACTCTACAATTCTATGATTCTATGAGTTGGCCCTGCTCTTCTATACACACTATTGGTGAGCCTTTCGGGTTGTTTTTACTCTTGCTTTCATACCTGTTTTAAAAGCTTCTTTCTGTAAGTCACTTTAAATTCACCTTTGGGGTAAAAGCGACTAATAAATCTAATATGATATAAATAAACAAATACCCCCCCCCCCAATAGGCAAAAACAGTCATAAAGGCAAGGAGCGCGCACACACTCAAGATATAAGGGAGTATTCTGAGAAGAAATATATTAAACTGAGGCCGGAGTGCATCATAGGCTGTGCTCTACAAATCAACCCACAGCCCCACGTTTTCTAATCCTAATAAACAACCAGAAACTAACGAGCAGCCTCAGACTGCAATTCATTAAGTTAAGTGTGAGCCTATTTAGAAGTAAGAGTGCAACAATCCTAACCCCTTACCGGGGACAAAACAAAAAAAATTCCTTCCAGTAGCACCTTAAAGACCAACTAAGTTAGTTCTTGGTATGAGCTTTCGTGTGCATGCACACTTCTTCAGATACCGGGGAGTAAGACCCCTTGAATTACTTCTGAGTAGGCATGGTTAGGCTTGCTCTGTAAGTCCCATCAAGTTCAACAGGTTTGCTCCCCCGGGATAAATGGATTACAGCCGTAGATGCCCATAAATCAAGAGGGGGAGAAAGTTGGAACGATGAGCAGGTAAATATGAACCACTTTCACTTTCTTTCCTTTTCCTCGATGGCGTGCTTTTGTACTTTTTACTTTGCTTTTTTCATTTTTCATTTTCATTTAATTATTTAAATGAATAGGCGAGAGCCCCCCGCCCCATATCGCACCATCCACGCTTATTACTCGCCCGTGGAACTTAATTTCCCAGCGAAGGCATCTCCGGATTGGGTCTCTGGAACTACATTACCCAGAAACCTCCAGGCCCTGCCGCCTTTCCTCTTTGCCTCTTCCCATTCACTCACGGGGACTACATTACCCAGAGGACCTTGCGGGGCAAAAACCCAAGCAGAACTACATTACCCGGAACGCTTTGCGGGACTTAAGCGCTGTCGTGGCGTTTGTGGGGTGATCTGTGTCTGGCGAAAGAGTTTCGTAAAGCTCCCCCACTTTTGCCCGGCTGAGTGTCGGAAAAAGGCCGGCTTCGAGAGGGGCTCGCGGGTCGCAGGAGCGAGGCTTCACGGCGTCTCCTTCCCCGCCCCACGCAGAGCGAGGATGAGGAGGGCCGGGCTGGGTAAGTGGGGCGCAGCTGGGGAGCCGGGCCTAGGCGGCCTCTGGGGGAGAGAGGCCTGTTGCCTAGCAACCCCGGCTGGTTGCTAGGGACCAGCATCCCGTTCTCCACAAGGGTCTTCAGGCTAACTCTTCCTTTTGCTGCGAGGGCAGTGTTTTCCTCTCGGGGGAAGGGCTTGGGGTGCAGGAGGGAGTTGGGAGTCCCATCAACAGCTGACGGGGGGGGGGGCGGCGGACAGGTTCCCTCTCCCTGGAAAGCGTCCCCTGCTCTTTGCACGTAGTTACTGAGCACAGCATGGAATGGGCAGCCTGGACGAGAGGAGACGTGTTGTAACTTACTCCTGACTTACTCCTTGGTGTTGTCTGCTCCCTTCGGGGGTTGGGCCTGGAAGCTCAACATCTCTGCAGTTGTTACCAGAACCCGCTGCGTGTTTTTGCTTAGGCACCGGAGCCTTGTAAACTTGAGTGGTGGATCTCTACGGTGCCACCTGTTTCCTGTGATTCATGTTGTGCTTTCATTGAATTACAGCTGTGATGGGAGAATTTGTACTTCAGTTTCACTTTTTGAACCGAGATTCGAGTTCACCGGTATTGATAAGTAATCTAACGTTCTGTGAATGGGAAGTATCTGTCGCTACTTAGTAAAATATAAATATAAATATCCCCCACCCCCAGGATCAGAAGCTTCATGCCTCTGAATACCATTTGCTGGACTTCCCATGGGCATCTGGTTGGTTGCTAATAGTAATATGAGTAATAACACATATATTCTACCTTTACTTCAAGGAGCACAAGGTGGTCACATGGTTCTCCCCACCCTCCATTTTATCCTCACAACAACCTTGTGAAGTAGGTTAGACTGAGCGTCCATGACTGGTCCAGGGTCATCCAGTGAGCTTCACAGCTGACTGGCAATTTGAGTGTCCTAGTTTGACACTCTAATCATTACACACTGGTTCCCAGGAGAAACAGGATACCGAATTAGACAGGCTTTTGCCAGTGTAGAACAGAATAGCATTTATTGCATTAGTACATAGACCACAGCAGAAGTTTTCACTTGTAATCAGTAAGAAAGTATGGAGAAGGATGCCTTTGAACAAGGAGTTTCATTCAACTATTCTTTGGGTGGGTGAAGCCATATTTTGAACTGATCTTCCAATGCTATTTTCCCCAAAACTTTTTGGTGTGATTTCCCCCCAACAACTGTTCCCTTTCTAGCCAATGGGGTGAGATGCCATCATACCTCTTTTGACACAGACTTAATAGTGTCTGTCTTGGCCATTCCTCTTCCTTTTCTATCTTACATTGGGCACTGGTTTCAATGTGAACTGGCAGTGTCCAAATCTTTGTCACAGAAATCCTTTCAACTAGTAGTTCCAGTGCAGAAACAATAAAGTTTTTTGAGAGGTGCTCACTCTATATGTGTCATAGCTCAGTGGCAGAGCACACAAAATCCCAGATTCAGTCCCTGGCATCTCCAGGTAGAACTGGAAAAGACCTCTGTCTGAAACCCTGGAAGGCCATGGCCAATCACTGTACTGTAATTTACTGAACTAAAAGGACCAATGGACTGACTCTGGATAAGACCCCTTTCATTGTTTCCAGGTCTAGTAGTAGTACTATGAAAACAGCAGCATTTCCCATATGGATGCTCCACATGCAGCCTGGTCTTCATCAGGTTAATCATGTCCCACTGAGTGTTGTGAAATTTCCTCCCTAGCAGTGAGTTCTGTGAAACAAACTCCCACTCTTTGACCTGCGAACCTTTGTGATATTTTCCGTTTATCAGCAGCTCTTTGGTGGGTGAATGCTAATTTTCATGGATAAGACAGAAAATACCATTTACTGTTACAATGGTAATGTCATGTTATGGGCAGTGAACCCACCTAATTTGAACAGCAAACTAATGGATAGCTAGGGTATTCGGCAAACTCTTAGTCCCTGTGGAATAATTAGGGACTTGCAGAGTTGCCTGCACAGTAATTTGGTTATAACAAATTTTGCACGATGAGGTGTTTTCTTCGCTCTCTTGTCTCCTCTTTACATCTTTCTTCCATATTTGGATTGATTTGTGAAAATTTTCTCTCTCTTTGCAGTGCAGAAACAATTTGTTTCAGGTGTGGGGAACCTGTGGCTCAGGGCCCAGTTGCAGCTCTCTAGGCCTGTCTCTCCAGGTCACACCTCCTTGTTAACTACATCCCTCACCATCCCTACTTTGCACCTTCATTAAGTGTTTTGACTTGGTTGGAATGTATCCTTGAACTTTGATAATGCCTCTTGCTTGCCTGGAAGGGAGGAGAGATAGTGGTGTGTGTGAGGAAACCAGTCTACTGTACAAAGGTAAAATTTACCTTAGTTGTTCCACTCACCTTTGCCTCTGATCCTGCCTACCACTGATGTGTGATGTCAGAAGGTTGTCCAGAAGAGAGGGCGGCCCTTAGGCCAATGAAAATGGTTCCCCATCCCTTATTTATTTATTATTACATTTATATTCCACCTTGCCTCTAAGGAGCTCAAGAGACAAAGACTGGCCCATGGTCACAGAGTGAGCTTCATGACTGAGTGTGGATTTGAACCCTGGGCTCTCTGGTCCTAGTCCAGCATTCCCACATCTAGACATCACAAAGTTAAACAGCTGTCTTCTTGGCTTACCAGCATGGTTCCTTGTTTGAGTGTAATGCTAGGGATTCTGAGAGAACATTCCACATGCATCACAGCTGCATAGACCCCCAACTGAGCCAGACCCCTTGGATTTAGGTAGAGGAAGGTAGAAGAACTCTAAGGGTTTCTGCTCCCATAATAGTCATATGGGAGAAGATGGTCCTTAAGCTACACAGGTCCCAATCTGTTTCAGACGTGATCACCAGCACTTTGAAGTATGCCCAGAGATGGACTGGCAGTCTGTGCAGACCTGGCAAAATATGATCCCTCTGGGCTGTCTCAGACTACCAGCAGCGTTACCCATTGAAGTTTCTGGCAAGTCTTCAAAGGCAGCTCCCCATACAGCATATTGCAGTAGTCTAATAAACATGTTATCAGGACATGGATAACTGTGGCCAGGCTCTCTGTCCAGGAGCAATTGCAACTAGCTTCCACTGACTTTGCAAGGCCTATCAGGACCACCAGGCTACAAACTTGCTCTATGTGAAGAGTGCAGCCTCATTAAGAGCAGGTTCAATCTCACCTCCATTCCCAAATGGATGAAAACTGAGGAATCTTACCTGTTTATTAGCCCTCATCCAGTCCATTACAGCTTCCAAGCACTGATTCAGCACTTCTACTGCCTCACCTGACTGATGAGAAAGAGAAGTAGAGCTGAGTTTCATCAGTGTACTGATGACCTCATTCCAAATCTCATTGAGTTCTCCAAGCAACAAAGGAGGGGGTAGTTTTTCTCCCGTTTGCTAGACTGTATTATGAGGCATTAGTAGCACCTCACTGATGTTGCTGCTACACAGAACTCAGGTGTGAAGATATTTTCTTTGCTTTCATGTTGTTTTCTCTTGGGATCTTTGTGGTAGGAGTGTGGGGCAGGAACACTTGCTTCTGGTGATCAGGTGTGTGGATGTTTGAATATTGCAATTGTGAAATTGCTAAGTGTGTAATAGAAGTGTCATCGGTGGATTCAAGAAACATTCTTGTGGGAGCGATGCAGTTTTGGGTCATTGTCTGAAAGTGACAGCTGAGATTCTAGAAGAATCTGACTGTGGTTTGTATGTTGCGTCAGTCATAAAACAGAAAACATCTGGGTTAAGACATCCCTAGGGTGTGATACGTAACTGAACTTTGACTGAGTAAAGTAATTATTTGATATGCAGCTTCCTAAGAAAAGTCAGTGAGTTGGTCTACAAGTTACATAATGAGTATCTGATACCTTTCGTTCTAGCCACTTGTAAATATTTTTCCAGCTAAACCCTGTGCATGGAAATCTCACAGGAAAATTAATACACACACACAAATAAAACAAAACTCATTTCACTTTTGTTATTGGGGATCAAATAGTCTTCCAGGCCATAAAGTTTTCAGTAAACTGGCAGAGTGTAAAGCATCTGTAATTAATTTTGGCACTCCCACTTGGAGTGGGATAGGCTTACAGGCTTATAAACTATGCAATTATAAACTTTACAATTCTAAACATTGGATTTTGTATTTATTTATTGTTCTGACTGATTTGTTTGTTTGTTTTTATGTGGGAAGAATAATGCCGATCAACCAAAAGGAACGTTTGAGCTAAGGATCATGTTGACAAGAAAATGCAGTCTTCTGCAATGTTTATATTAGGTGGACTGATATAACACTTGCAGTTATATCACTTGTGGTCTTTGTTGCACAGTCATTGCTCTTTAATGCAGGGAAGAAGTCAAAAGTACTTGCTATCATTTTGCCTGACAGTTTTTTTTTGTGTGTGTGTGGTGTCTTTGTTTTTGGAAAAGACAGAATCTCATTAGCTAGTCTGTTGAAAGTTGTGGTAATGTCTGCTTCCAAAAGTCTCCTTAAAGTGGTGGACTACAGATTGAAGCACTGATTAAAATTGGAAATAAATTAAGGCCAGTTAAAATTGCCAATAATTATTCTAAACAGTACATGTTGTATTTTCAGTTTATTTGGCTACACCATGGATTTTCTTTCAGATGTGCACATAACAGCTTGTGTGTTGACTAGAGCAGCTTGTACTTCCATTGTGTTGAAAAGGAGTTCCTTGCTCATTCTAGTCTGGTGACTCCTATGACTTGCATGTTCGGAGACTTGAATGTATGCAGAAGAGCTTCCAATTTTGCTTCTAAGTAGCTCTGCCATGCCATATTGCAGGCACTGAAGAGAGAGTTACTAACAGTACTTCCTTAAAGGCTGGGGTGAGGAACCTGGGACCAACACATTGTTGGACTAAAGTTCCAAGCACCCAGCCAGCATGGCCAGTGGTCAAGAATGATGGGAGTTGCAGTCCAGCAAGAAATGCCATTAATGGCTTGTTTTTGTGTTTGTGTGACACAGCATGAAGCAGCTGCGCTCTGTGTGTGTGTGTGTGCGCGCGCGCATGTATGAAATATTTACAGCATGGATTTGGGGTTTCTTTTACCACTTAAAATCTGTGCTGTAAAAATGGATATTGTTGCATGTATCTCTGGCTGTATCCATGGCTGTCCACTAATTGTTGTAGTGTAGTAAATTATCTTTTGAGCCATCTGGTAGCATTTGAATGTACATGAGGAATTCGTTCAGATATGAGTCTCTGTTCAAGTATAATCAAGATGGTGCAACAGGAGATGATTCAGCAAGGCATTAGCATTTTGGAAGGTGAAAGAAAGAACAGTGGTGGACCTGGATGTTTGTCAGGATGAAAGTTGTGGGGATTTGGTTTTGGACTGTTCAATCATTTTTGAAGGATATACACTTCTGGATCCAAAGGTTCCCTTTGGTTTGGAATTGTATGTGAAAAAGTTTAGTGGGGAGGCATTTGGTGGAGTAGGTACATTTGTTTGTGTTCCCTTCATCTCCTTTCTTCATACACTTTGGGTCTTCATCTTGTGTAATACCAGTGCCTGCCTCAATCTCTTTATTTATTTTTTTAATAAAATTTTTTATTGCTTTATTTTCCAAGGTCAGAATACATCGTCAATAACACAACAAAAGCTGTTTTACAAAAAGAAAGAAGAAATTAAATAAAAGAAAATTCATTTTTCCAAATCTTTTTTCATCATCAACTGGACTTCCCCACATCCTCCATCCCTGCTTTCTTTACAATAAAAGTAGACAGCAAATTAATACCTTGTTTCATGTGTTTTTGTATTTTCATCTAATTATTTACTCTAGAATTTAAACTTTTCTCGGTCATAACTTAGTTTCAATCATTTCCGAATCTCAATACTGAAGCATGTTTTTCTCAAAACTTAGCAAATTCTCAGCATTCATATAGCTTATAATGTTTTTGTAAATAGTCCTTAAATTTTTTCCAATCCTCTTCCACTGCCTCTTCTCCCAGGTCTCAGATTCTGCCAGTCATTTCAGCCAGTTCCATGTAGTCCATCAGTTGCGTGTGCCACTCTTCCAGTGTGGGTAGCTCCTGTGCCTTCCAGTATTTGGCTATAAGGATTCTTGCTGCTGTAGTTGCATATAAAAAGAAAGTTCTATCTTTCTTTGGCACTCTCTGGCCTACAATGCCCAGGAGGAAGGCCTCTGGTTTCTTATGAAAGGTACACTTAAATACCTTTTTCAACTCGTTATAAATCATTTCCCAAAAAGCCTTCACCCTCGGGCATGTCCACCAAAGGTGAAAGAATGTTCCTTCAGCCTCCTTACATTTCCAACATTTATTGTCAGACAAATGATATATCTTTGCAAGTTTGACTGGGGTCATGTACCACCTGTACATCATTTTCATAATGTTTTCTTTTAAGGCACTACATGCCGTAAATTTCATGCCGGTGGTCCATAACCTTTCCCAGTCTTCAAACATAATGTTGTACCCAATATCTTGTGCCCATTTTATCATGGCTGATTTAACTGTCTCATCTTGAGTATTCCATTTAAGCAACAAGTTATACATTCTTGAAAGCACTTTTGTCTTAGGTTCAAGTAGTTCTAACTCTAATTTTGATTTTTCCACCTGGAAACCAATTTTTTTGTCCTTTTTAAAAATCTCTAAAATTTGGGCGTAATGAAACCAGTCTCGCACCTTTCCTTTCAATTTTTCAAAACTCTGCAACCTCCAAGTGTCACCCACTCTTTCTATTATTTCACAGTATTTTGCCCAGCCACCCCCCATATTAAGTATTTTTGTGGCCTTAGCCTCCATCGGTGATAGCCACCTCGGAGTTTTGTTTTCAAGTAAGTCCTTGTATTTAGTCCAGACATTAAACAAAGATTTCCTGACAATATGGTTTTTAAATAACTTATGAAGCTTTACCTTGTCGTACCACAAATATGCATGCCACCCAAAAGCATTGTTAAACCCTTCCAGATCTAGGACATCAGTGTTTTCTAACAAAAACCAATCTTTCATCCAGCAGAAGGATGCAGCTTCATAGTACAACCTTAAGTCCGGCAGGGCAAATCCCCCTCTTTCCTTTGCATCTGTTAGTATTTTAAATTTTATACGGGGCTTTTTGCCCTGCCAGACAAACTTCATAATGTCCCTCTGCCACTTTCCAAAACACTCCACTCTGTCCACGATCTGCAGGGCCTGAAACAGAAACAACATTCTTGGCAATACATTCATCTTAACTGCTGCAATTCTTCCCAACAAGGAAAGTTTCAGTCTTTACCAAATTTCTAAGTCCTTTTTAATTTCAGACCAACATTTTTCATAATTATCTTTGAACAAATTCAAATTTTTCCCAGTCAAATTAACCCCCAGGTATTTCACTTTTTTAACCACATTTAATTCTGTTTCCTTCTGGAACCCATCTATTTCTAAAGGTGTCAAGTTTTTTACCAGAACCTTAGTTTTTTGTTTGTTTAACTTGAATCCCGCCACCCGACCAAACTCAGAGATTAGTTCTAAAGCTCTTTTTGTGCTGGGTTCTGGCTCCTGTAATGTCAAAACCAAATCATCTGCAAAAGCCTTCAGTTTATATTGTTTTCCTCCGACCTGTATTCCTTCCACCCGCTGGTCCTTCCTAATCAAGTTCAGCAAAACCTCCAGGACAGAAATAAATAGCAAGGGTGATAAGGGGCACCCCTGTCGTGTTCCTTTTTCAATTTTGAACTCCTCTGTCACCACGTTGTTTACTATCAATTTAGCTTTTTGTTCTGAATAGATTGCTTCAATACCATTTTGGAACGCCCTTCCCACTCCCATCCCTTCCAAATTTTTCTTCATAAATTTCCAAGATATGTTATCAAAGGCCTTCTCCGCGTCTATGTATATCAAAACTGCTTTCGTATTCAAATTTGTCTGTAGTAATTCCAAAACATCGATAATATTCCTAGTGTTGTCAGACAAATGCCTACCAGGGAGAAAGCCTGCTTGGTCTTTATGAATTACTTCATTTAAAACTTTTTTCAGTCTATTTGCCAAAATATCAGCAAAAATCTTGTAATCCACGTTTAGGAGTGAGATGGGACGGTAGTTCTTAAGTTGAGTCTTTTCAGATTCCAATTTCGGTATCAAAGTGATGAATGCCTCTTTCCACAATTCCGGTGCCCCCTTCCCTTCCATAATTTGGTTGCATACCTCCATCAGTGGCTGGGTCAAATATTCCTTCAGTGTCTTATAATATTTGGAGGTAAGTCCATCTGGGCCCGGGGATTTGCCTAATTGCATATTCTGAATGGCGCTTTCAATTTCCTGTTGTGTTATTTTGTAATCTGCCTCAATCTCTTTAGACAGGTGTAATAAAAGGAAATTGCTCTTCCCCCTCTAGAAATCCTGTTTGTTTTGTTTTTTTGCTCTATTTCTGGGGTCTAAACTGATGTCCTTCTCAGGTGAAGGAGCTGCTGGCGGCAATTATGGCTACAGCAACAGTGGGTACAGTGTATTTGAGGAAGAAAATGAGAAGTTAACGGAAAGTTTGCGTTCAAAAGTCACTACCATAAAATCAGTAAGTATATTATTATAGAAGCATTAAAATTGATGGCAGTACATAATGCTTGCTCAATCAGGGTAATAGCAATATAGTCGCAAAAACTGAGACAGCTTAATTGAATTTGGGCAAAATATTGCCCATCAGAAGGCCTAGTGGACTCATTCATGGAACAAATTTTCTGTCTAATTGGATTTGAGCTCCTGCTGACCTTTCTGGCTAATCAAGATATTAGTTACAGGTTGGGAAAGCAGAAGCTCTGCTTATTTGGCACACCGTGACTAAGGGTTGCACTCCCAAAGGACTTGTAAGTCAGCAAGGTCAGTTAACCGACTTACCAGTAAACCATCAGGCTAAATTATTCCAATGGAATAAATATAGCTAAATGGGTTGTGTCAAAGCAAGACAATTCTCACCCCCATCAGCCTATGTTATTTGAACCACAGTGTGTCATGTGAGAGCAAGGGTGCTGCAGATAAAGTACAGTCAATCTAATTTGATTGGGCATTGTACACTATAAGGAAGATAACTGTTCTCTACTGCAGGCTTCCCCAACCTGGTGCCCTCCATATGTTGTTGGACTACCACACCCATCAGGGAACCAGGCTGTAGAAGGCTGCACTATAGCACATCTCTTACAGCATAAATATGGAGGTGGTTTAAAATACTCAAGTAGAATGAAAACAAAAACTGGGGTATGTTAAATAACTTGAAGCATCTCATATCAAGAAATAAAGAAATTTGAACAAAAGATTTGTAACATGACACTACAAAATGTCAATACTTGGCTTGAGTTGCTGTTAGTTTGAGACAAGTTTTATACAGTATCTGAAAACCGTAGACTAGAATTTACTATTATCTTTTAGAATATTTTCAGAGTTGCCTGTATCTTGGATCTTTAAGATGATTCCAGAAAGCATATTAGCTACATTTGATATTTCCCAAAGAAACTTAGTTTTGCATGATGTAATCCAGTTAGCAGTATGGGATCACAATCTTCTTTTTCCTCATAGCTTTCCATTGAAATTGGGTCAGAAGTTAAACAGCAAAATAAAATGCTAGCTGAAATGGTATGTATATGATTAAAGTATTCAGTTCCTTTAGATGAATTTAGAATTTGTTTAACTCTCTGACTGATAAATTTAGTTGCACATTCTTTTCTGAAATGTGTCAGTATATAATTTGTTGGGTTTTAATGTTTTTTATAAACCTGTAATTTTGAATTCTAATAGTAGATGTGCTTTTGTTTCCAGAAAAAAAATTCTAGGTATCAATTTTTCAAACATTTTCATATGTTTACTTAAATTATTTTGAGATTTCTCTCTAGAATTTGCATCAACGTCAAAATATGCCTATAAATTTTGTGGTGTGCCTGGCCACAGTTTTCTTAATTAAAAAAGAAAAAGCGCTCTCTTCTGGTCAGAACTACACATGCAGAATCTGGCTTTCCCCACCTGGATGGTGAACCATGTTGTCAATTGGTGCCCTTCCCTTTCCAATTTCATAGGTGAAGCTGAGCTTGGGGAACCCTTTCTAAAAAGGTAAAAAATTCACTGTTCATCTGTTTGGGAAGAAGAGCTAGAGTCAGACTCCCTCTCCCCCTTAAGCAGATGATTGCAAGGAGTTTAACTTCGGAAAGTGGCTTTGCAAGCAGAGTCTCTAAAAGTCCCTTTGCACACATGCTGCTTTGGATCATGGCAAAACTGTTTATTTATCACATTTATATTCCACCTTTCCTCTAAGGAGCTCAAGACAGTTTGCATGGTTGTCTTTCTGCCCCCGCCCCCAAATTCTCACAGCAACTCTGAGGTGCCATTCTTTGCAAGTTTAGTGTTGCAAATTAAAATTAGACTAATTTCCTACTTTGTTACTACAGGACAATGAATTTGATACAACAAGTGGATTTCTTGGCGCCACGATGGGTAGACTGAAAACACTCTCCAGAGGAAGCCAAACAAAACTCTTATGCTACATGATGCTGTTCTCACTGTTCGTTTTCTTTGTAATTTACTGGATTATTAAACTGAGGTGATGCATATTCTCCAATACGAGATGATTTGCGCCACGTCAAGATCCTAGGAAGGTATCTGCGAAAAATGAATAAGTATTTTTTGTAAACTGCATTAAGTATTAATGCGTGTGGTTTCTCAATGATTATCAGGCCAGAACTACTTCTATTTTTAAAACCCTTATTTTGTAGGGTTCTTAAATTGAATTCTGCTCAAGGCTGAGCACTCTGTAGAGCCCTCCCCCCCCCCCAAAAAAAGAGAAGTTACATTGTGGAGTGAAGTGTATATATTAAGAATGACAGGAAAAGGATTTTTAACAAAATGTCTAAAAGCACCAGTTCTGCTTTCCAAATACCACTAACAATAAAATGAATGAATTGCATTTGATGATGCTGTAAAGTTATATTCAGTTGTTGTTGTTTTTTAATGAAGTACATGATCGTGGCAAAGCAAAGTACTGTTAAGCCTCGTTGTTTCAATGGGAAAGGTCAGCATGTGCTTAACTTTGGCTGGATTGTGTCCACGGCAGTTTGTTCATCCTGCAGTTAGAATTTATATTAACCAGAACTGTTAAAAAGAATGGCTGAGGTGTGGAGCTGCTAATTTTCTCAGTATCTTAAGCTGCCTTGTGACTGCTTTTTTGTGGTGTTAGGGTTTCAACAAAATCGGCAAGTGGTCCAACCCACAAAGAGTGAGCGTGAAAGTGGGCTTCTGTGTCTGGATCTCTATGGTTCTTGTGTCCCGTTCATAGAATCATGGAGCTGAGAGGTCCTTCCAATGTAATCCTCTTCTACAGCATCCCTCATAGGTTGGCACCCTGCTCCTACTTAAAAGCCTTCAATGAAGGAAAAGCTACCACCTTCTGAGGTAGCCTGTCCCATTGTCAATCAGCTTGTATCGCCAGGAAGTTATTCCTGCTTAGTCTAAATCCTTTTTTTTGGGGGGGAGGGGTTGTTCTAATCCACTAGTTTTAATTCTGGACCAACAGAGACTAGATTTGCTCCATAATCTTTGTGACAACTCTTCAGATATTTGAAAATAGCTATCTTGCTTGTCTCTTCTCCAGGGTAAGCTTCAACCTAACTTCCCACCTAGCAGCTGGGCTCCTAGTCCCTTACACACACACCCCTTCATTGCCTTCCTTGGAACACATTCTGGTTCATCAGGATCCTTTGAGAATGGCAGTGCCCAGAACTGGACCCAGTACTCTAGATAAGGCCTGACCAAAGCAAAGTAGTATCATTACTTCTTGCAATCTGGATACAATCCTTCAAGACAACCTGGAATAACAGTTGCCTTTTTAATTGCCTCACACTGCCAACTCATATTTATTTCTTTTAACGTGTTGAAACCAGTCCAGAGTGCACATCTGGCTAATTCCGCTTTCTCTTTCACCCTTCCGCTTTCTCTTTCACCCTTGTCATGAATCTCAACATAGCATTGCCTCTTCTCCCAAGCTCCCACTGCTTCCATCTCCTCAACCAGTTCTTCCTTATTGGTGAGACTCGGCTCTAGGGTAGCTGGTTCTCCTTGCCTTTTCTTTCATCTACTAAAAGATGAAATTGTCAGCAAGGCGGGAATTTATTAGACCTTTCATTCTTAGCAGAGCTTAGGAGTGGCTCCCCCTGGAGGGATGAGCCACAGCAGCACTGCTTCTGCTTACTGGGAGGAGTAAGGCAGTGTTGATGACGGCACCATTTAGTGCACTGGTGCACCCAATCCAGCACTCAGCAGCCTTAGCTCCTAGTAGGCGACAGTAACGCTGCAGCCAGGAGGCTATTGCTGCAGCTCTGCCCATTGGGTGAGGCGCTCTTGGCAGAGTTTGACTTGCAACAGATATTCAGTTGTTTTATGTCTCCCATTACTATGTCTCTCCACTTTGAAAGCTGCCTAATCTGATCTAGGAGACCATCCAAATTAGCAGCTCCTGCAGTTGGTTCCAGTAGGCTTATAGTTCTGTGTCCCTCTCTGGGTTAGGCAAAATGGTTGCAAATCAAAATAATGCTACATTATTTATGTTTTCATTAGTTAAACCTTGATAGTTTATTACATAGACTTACTGGTTAATATAACAGCAAAAGCTTCTTACACTTTCCTGGGTGTCAGTCTCATTGAACTTATTTGGATTTACTTCTGAGTAGATATGATGCATAGGATTGCATTATAAATTGCTAGCTGTGGTATAGACAATGTCATTTGCTTTTTTCAGGAAGATTAAACTATTTTCTAGCGCTGTAGTCTTCAGCCTTTTCAGACCTGGGCCCCACCTTTAACTTGATGCACTTCAGAACCATTTTCTTATTAAGGTATATTTATATGGTGCCAGGGCTGCTGTTGCAATCCACCTTGGATTAGGCCCAACCCACCAGTATGAAGAGCAGTATACTAGACTAGGAAGCTCTGATCAAAAGTTAAGACTTAGCCAGGTTGTTGAAATATTGTACAAGCATATTTGTAAGCTTCAGGGGGGAAACAGAGCACAAAAATATTTGGAGCTGCTGTGATGGCTACAGACATTCTTTCTGAGAAGTAATGCCAAATTGATTAATTCAGTACAAAATACTTCCTGAATATGGAAATTCCCTACTTCGTCAGCCAGTTTCCTGGGACAGCTGCAGGACAAGAGTGAGGCTGCGGCAGTAAAGTAGTTTTCCAGCTGATTACATGGTCTCACGGTAGGCAGATTTGTGGGAGCTCTTTAGGAGATATGGGGCTTTCACCTTGGCAGGCTGCCATTTCTGCAGAAGTTAAGAGGGGCTCATCTTAACACAGTTCTACTATTTTAGGAAATGGTAAAAGAACATGTAGTCTTGGAAATTATCTTTGAGAGGGCTTTGTCCAGAAAGGCAGCCTATAAATATTTTAAATAAGCTATCCCAACTTCTGCTTGCCAATCAGATGTTAACCCATCTATCTAGAACCTCAGCCAATCTAATCTGCCTTTATGAAATGAACGGGAGCAATGTATTGTGGAATTGTATTCGCTAGAGGTGAATGATGAAGTTTTAAAAAATAAATCAATCTCTAGATTGCAGAAATGGTAGAGTGTATACACTGCGGGATCTTGTGATGGCCAACTCAGTTGTACTGCATCTGATCATTGATAAGATCGGTCAAATGATCCCATTAACAAGGGCTGAGGAGAGGGTTCAGGTCATGAAGATTTCCCATTCCACCAGCTCTATAAATACATGGCACCAGGGCTTTTTATCAGGGAGTAGTCAAGGGTACGCAGTACTGGCACCTCTTTTTTGTTGTTGTTAAAACATGCGGCACTTACTGTAACAACTTCATGGTGAGCACTATGGAAAAGAGCACTGCAAGGCACCGTATTGGCAGGAGCAAGGATATATTGATGCGTTCATGTGCTTTAGAACTCCTTTCTGCAGGTAACTTTTAATATTTGTATTTTTTTAAAAATACTGAAATGAAATGTGTCATGAGTTATAGTTATTGTTATAAAATTTAAAAATGGCTGCAATTTACTGAAAATAGCACTTCCATTGTGGTAATTCTTAGAAATGGTGGGGGATATCCTATCCAAAATTCATATATCCACAATGTCTCTGCTGAAGTAGGTTAGTGACTGGCCCAAGTTTACCTAGTGAGCTTTGTGTCTGGGTGAATTTGAAGCTTCCCAATCTAAGTCAGGTAACTTGACAGCTAGAAGAAAGGGAGAGCACAGTTTACCAGCCCAAAGGCCTTTGGGGCAACAGTGCCTACAGCTTTCTGGGTAGAACATCATGGTCAGAGGGAGACCAACTCAGATTCCATTCCGAAGCTGGCGAAGAAGCAGCAGCTGCTGCAATGCTTCTTTTCCTCTTCCCCTCACCAATCTATATTTCTTCTGCATCCCTCTGTTACATTGTGAGCCTGTGGGCAGAGAAGGTCTCATTTTTTAATATCTGTATGGCACTAAGAAGATGTTAAAAATCACCAAAGTGCTCAATATTAAACTATGCTGGTTTAATACTCACTTCAAAAAAAATGTGAATGGGTGGCCGGGGTTGGGGTTGGAGAAAGCCACCTACTGAAGAAAAAAAACATACATAAAACTAGAATTTGACACTCATGTTGAACTGTTTGTTAAATATTTTTTAAAATCCTAGAACTGCTGCCTCACCTACAGTTTATAAGAAGAACAGAAAATTTGATCTTACTCTTTCTTCCAACGTTGTTATTTCATCACTAATTTTTTAAAATGAATGAATGAATTGATGCATCGTTCTTGTTTTGCAATCATAAAACTCAATAAATATATTTTTAAAAACAGTTCTGTGGTAGAGAAAATAACATAAATTTAAAACTCTTGGTATTGAACTGTTACAACGGTAAGACTTGGAGCGGGGTAGACAATTCCAGAGATCTCCCACTTCTTGACTGAGTGTTTGTTTGATCATTAGAATACAGTGGTACCTCTAGTTACGTACTTAATTCATTTCGGGGGTCCGTTCTTAACCTGAAACTGTTCTTAACCTGAAGCACCACTTTAGCTAATGGGGCCTCCCGCTGCTGCCGGAGCAGGATTTCTGTTCTCATCCTGAAGCAAAGTTCTTAACCCGAGGTACTATTTCTGGGGCAGCAGAGTCTGTAACCTGAAGCGTATGTAACCCGAGGTACCACTGTATTGGGGCACCTGGGCACTCATTCTATTGTGGCTATAGTTCTTGCCCCTTTTTTTCTCTTCTCTAGCCAGCCCTTCCGACTGACAAGCCAAGCAGGTGAGACAGACTACAGTGGTACCTCGGGTTACATACGCTTCAGGTTACAGACTCCACTAACCCAGAAATAGTGCTTCAGGTTAAGAACTTTGCTTCAGGATGAGAAGAGAAATCGTGCTCCGGGGGCATGGCAGCAGGAGGCCCCATTAGCTAAAGTGGTGCTTCAGGTTAAGAACAGTTTCAGGTTAAGTACGGACCTCCGGAACGAATTAAGTACTTAGCCCGAGGCTCCACTGTATCTGTGTGTGGCTGCTTCAGTCCCTTTTACCCAGGAGCTCCAGACTTAGGATTTAGTAGGCTGAGAGCAGGGCGACTAAATAGCAAAATGAGGGGGGCAAAGGGATATTTCCTACTATGGCTACTACCACCATCCGTCTAGCCAGTGGCCTGATGAAGGCCAGTCACGTGGACACAAAAGGGGCAAGAGATCAAAACAAGTCCTTTTAAAGCAGAAAAGCTTTAAGATAGCAATGTGCAATGCGTATTGTGAGCGGTGAAAGTTATTACTATGAAAGCCCATCATTTGCGAACTGTTTCAGGATCTGAATCGTCTGTCATAAATGTAAACTGCATGCCTCACTCTTGCACTGTTCAGATGGGTAAGGCTTTGTTTTTGCTTTAGACAAAATAAATAGTACGAGCCAGTTCTTCAAAATTTAAAAATATGTTTTATTCAGCTTAGTACAGAGCCAGTGTTTGCAACTTATTGCAAAGTCAATTACCACTTCTTGATTGTCAGATGCGTTAACAAATTACACTAATTTAGCCAACCAGATGGAATTTTAGGGGGTTTGCTTTGAAACATGTTCTGTGAATTACCCATTTTAATTGTCTCCTTGCTGAAAACGGCTACGCTAACAATAAACCTAAACAATTACTCTGGAGCAGCCTAGATATGTGCTGTGCACACAAAGGTGTGCAATCAATACTTTGCTATTCCAATTGAGGAATTGCCGGAAGCCTCCCTTGGAGCAGAGAGGATTCACACAGGCATTTAAGAAACTTGACACATGATGAGGGTCTTCTATTATATGGAATTTAAAAGCAAATAAACAATTGCACTTCTACAGCAATTAAAAGCAGGTCCAGAAAAAACAATCTTTCACCAGAAGCTACTGCTCAAAGCTCTGGTTTTTGTGACGTATTTAAAATGTTTTAGCTTTGTAAGAATAGCCAGAGAAGTAGTCCATCTTTGCCCAACCAGAGAGTGAGTATAGGTCGTGCCATATAATATCTGAGGTAAAATAAGGTTGCATGTGTTTCTGGCAATGATTAGGTATGGTATTACCATATAAGGCACAATCCCAGCAACATGAATGTTAAGAACATTCAAGGTAAGTAACTCTTACAGAATCTTCCCAATTCAGCTTACTGAAATGTAAGCAGAGATCAGCAGGAGTCCTGGGAGTTACTTCTTTGGTAAGATGTCCATATACTTGCATATAATAGAAAGCATGACCTCATCAGCACCAGCTCCTATGGAGAGCAATCTAGAGTCTCTGCGAAGGAAAAACAAAGCAAAAATAACATTGGCAAAACGAAGATTGTCCCATCTGGCAACTTTTAAACACGACTGCCGTTAGGTGTTCTTATTACTGCATAGAATGTTAGGTTCTGAAAGAAGTTACCTTCTGCCCAATTAAATGAATGAACCAATAAGTCACTGTTTAGTTTAAAATGCAAATTGACTCTTTGGAAATGGAAACCCTTCAGCCGATATTCAGTATCATGTAGTCAAAAAACAACTACACACAGCCAGCCCTCATTTTTCTAGGGAAAAGGCATGGCTGGCTGGAACACTTGACAAGAGCATTCCGCAACTTTTTCTTGCAGATCCCTCCTCTTGCTTTAATTTCTTACAAGCATGGGGAAGGACTGTGCCTCAGTGGTATGCTCTGCATGCAGAAGGTCCCCGAGTATCTCCAGGTAGAGCTAGCAATTTCCTGTCTGAAATCCTGGAGAGCCTCTGCCCCGTCAGTGTAGACAATATTCCACAGGATGGACCTATAGTCTGACTTGGTATATGGCAGGTTCCTATGTTCCTCAGGGAAAAGCTCTGAATATTTCACCCTCTGTGCCCATGGTGGCAGCCCAGTCTTTGAAGTGAATGGGGAAACTTACCAACTGAATATATTCACCCAATGCAACAATATATGTGTGCCTCCTCCCATATGAAAGAGCTGCTGGGTTGAAGTATGTGGGTTGAAATAACTACAGTAGCTGGTCAAGTTAATTTGTCCAAGCAAGTGGGATTTCTAAACTACTTGCATGAAAAACACAATATTTTTAAAAATGTGCACTTGTGGTAAGGGACACATACCCACAAACAATGTGTTCATTTATACAATGGTGCCTCACAAGACGAAATTAATTCGTTCCGCGAGTTTTGTCGTCTTGCGATTTTTTTCGTCTTGCGAAGCATGGTGTTGGGAAAGTTTTGGAAAAGCTTTAAAAATCACCAAAGTCTTTAAAAACCTCAAAAAAGGCTACCACACCGCGTTCTATGAGTTGCTCCTCGAAGTCAAGTCGCAACTGTATTAACGGTGTTAAGAAAAAGGAAACAAACTTGCAAGACGTTTCCATCTTGCAAAGCAAGCCCATAGGGAAAATCGTCTTGCGAAGCAGCTCAAAAAACAAAAAACCCTTTCGTCTAGCGAGTTTTTTGTCTTGCAAGGCATTCGTCTTGCGAGGTACCACTGTACAGTCATATAGCCAAGATATTCCATGAAAACTCTTGTACTGTGTAAGTAAAAAGAGTGACACAGAGAAGGAAGTTGATAAATAGAAATCCCAGAGCATGGCAATTGAGGTAAGCAGACTTTTTGTAAATTAATTCTTCCACAGCACTAGAGGGGGAAATGATTCCATAGCCAAGAGCAATTTTGGAAAGGTTGATCCAAGAATAAGACAGCTGACGGACTTGCATGGTGCCTGACTAAAGTATTCCTCTATGGAGCAACTTGCAGCCCAAATGCAGCAGCCAGATGCTATGGGATATGATGGCTGTAGTAATGCAAACTGACCTATGCGTCAGACGCTTACTAAAGGCTGTGCAGCAGAAACATCACCAGGGAGTGAGGTTAAGTGTACATGCTGCTCAGTTATGAGAGACAAACTTCCCTACTGTGACAACGTCATTGACAACAGTCATAAAGTCTGAGCAAAAGTAGCAGCATTTATCAAAAAGCTTTCCATGTCCCCAGAAAAATAAAATGTAGTTCGTACCTTGATTACGTAATACTGAATATCTGGCGAGGGCGGGCAGGCAAGGGTGATGAGGAATGAAGTCAATCTCTGACTTTCATTTGGGAAAGCAAAGAACAGTTTTTCTAAGGAATTTACCAAATATTCTTGCAGAAAGGAAGAATAGAAAGGCAGGGAGGGGACTGTCTGTAGCATTCCTGCTACCGCCCCTTCAGCCTGGCCAGGATTCAAAGACGGATACTTGCACATACAACTGGAACTTTATAAATTGCGTTTGGCTGAAGAGTTTCAATTCCCAAAAGTACAATTTGCATTTTAAACTAAACCGCGAACAAAGGGCATGATCTTTGCTGAAAGACAGATGCTTTGCATCTGGCTCATAAATGGACATAAGACAGAACAAGTAAAGAAAGTCCTTTAGAAAGTCTTTCAAGCCAATGGCAGCTGGAAGGCACAAGCAGAATTCGCTGATCTGACAGCCCAAAAGAATACTTCTGCCATAGTTTTTTTAAAAAACCATACCAGAGGAGTTAATAATTTATGTAATGAGGTTGTTCCAGGCCAAATCACTAACCCAGCTCTAGTTTTACACTTCCGGGAGCAATTCAATCTAAATTTCTGAGGGCTATTCTTCAAATCCCCATTGCATGCCCAATGCTGCCCTGTGTCGAGGTCAGCCTTCAGAAGGCCAAAGCCGGGGCTTGGCTTGCCATTTTCAACTTTGCCTGAAGCTCACCTTCCATCCAACTGGCTCAGCCCCACTCACCCTTCAGGATGGCCTTTCAGTCTGTATGGATTAAGCCAACCCTCAAACGCCAGCTATATGGATTATCCCTGGGCTCCCTCATCCCTCTGGGACATGAAAAGGCTGGAGTGGCTCTCAAACGGCCTACTGTAAGATGATGAATGGCAGTGCAATTTAGGTTCAACCTCCAACCACACTCTGACTGACAGAGCACTCCAGCCACTCAATAAGCCAACTCTCTATACTCTAGGTCAAAAAGCATTGCGGAGCTTTCATTCTGGCATGCCTAAATGCTATTCCCTCAGCAATGTTGGAGGCAAGGTACCAAGACTGCAAGTGCCCATATGCTTCTGGAGAGGTTGAGTTTGTCCTCCCACACTGCTTTATGGAGATCTGCTAGAAACGTCACTGAACCCCTCTTATCTGCCAGGTCGATTAGATGCATTTTATGTCCTCCTTCTCTCAGACCAAAATGCATCTATCACTCTTAGGGTGGCAAAGTACTGTGTTGCAGAAAGCAACACACGACAAGAACTGTTGTTAATTTTTTTAATGCTGATGACCATTTTAATTCATTTTATGATACTTTTATTACTTTTTTTATTTCATTTCCCCTCTTATTATGTACATATGGATAATATGTTCTATGTACTCCTTACCCTGGTTTCTTAATGCTGGCCATTGACTGTAATAATAAACATTTGAACTAAACAGTGGCTTGCCTATTTAGCTGGAGTCTCGTGTGTGTGTGTGTGTGTGTGTGTGTGTGTGTGTTCACTTTTCTGAATTCCATCAATTGAGCTTAAAATACCAAATTGTGATGTACTGGTTAAAGCAGAGTTGTGAAGAAATATGTTGGATGCATGGATGTAATAACATAAAGATACCTTTCCCATATTTATATTAACTCCAAGCATACAACACCTAGCTGCAAACCATTAAACCTCATTTAGCAAATAAAAAATTTACCAGTGGCATGCATTCTAAGAAACAAAGCATTTAAATCAAAGGTTATTTCTTCTATCTATATATTGATCACAGAGTATTCACTCACCTGTAGAGTCTGCTCACAAGCACCTCATTAGTGAACCCCATTCCTCCCCAGAACTGGAGACAACTATCTGTTAACTCCCGAGCCAGACGCCCTGCCTTTAATTTAGCCATGGATGCAAATTTGGTCACATCATTGCCACAGATATACAGAGCTATAATAGAAAAAGACATAAAGAATGCATTTTAAGAATACCTATATGGATATTTTGTTTGTTAGGTTTTATAGTTTATATGTCTTTCTTCCATCATGGAACCCAAGGTGGCATACTTGCAGTTCCATCCAAGCAGAGACCACAGCCAGACCTGCTTAGCTTCAGCAAGATGGTGGCTTAATGTGTCTCCATGGATGATAAGGCTATCGATGGCTGCTAGCCATAATGGCTATGCATTACCTCCAGAGTCAAAGATGGGATTCACAGGTGGGGAGAGTGGTACTGAGCTCATGTCCTGCTTGTGGGCTTCCCAGAGGCATCTGGCTGGATGTTGCATGAGCTGGGCCTTTGATCTGATCCAACAAGCAGATAAATCCTAACAAAATAGTGTGGGGGTTTCCCCCCAATACTGTCTGTGCATGAATGTAACAGACTCCGGCTTGCACAACAGGACTTCAGGACTTCACCTTCTCCTCCAGCCTGCAGTCTCCCGAGGACCCTCAAAATCTGCTCCGGAAAGTTGAGGGTGGGAATCTCTCCCCGGTCAAGCAGATATCTGAAGCAAAACTTTCAATCCACTTACCAATAGCCCGATAGAGTAAAGATCGAAGGAGTTCCACCTCCGTCGCTAATTCTGCCAGACGAAAGTGCACTGTTTGGTTATGAAGTATTGGCTGGTTGAATGCCTTACGCTGGCGAGTGTAATCGACCGTCTCTTGTATCGCATTTTCCAGTGGCATCAAAACTATAGGAATTGGAGAATGAAAGAGGAAGTGAGTTTAATGAAGGACTTTTCCGCAAAGGTTATGAACCCTAACCCTTTGTATTTTACCGGAGAAGTGGCCCATAACGACAAGGGTAAATATGGTCGTGTGTGTGGCCCTAGAGCCTGTGGTTAAACAATGACTGCTTCGTTCAGACTTAGTTCACACACCCATGCGCATCGTTCCATTGCTCTTCTTCACAGGCGTTTCTGTGAATGGACCACTGAAAAGCATTGTGGGCGAGATGATAGAGGAAAAAATGAAAGTTTCCCCTGTGACGACCCGTTCGCTCATGCAAATCCTCAAGCAACAAACAATAATGTTCATTCACAGAGAGCCTGATTCACCAATTTTGGGTAGATTAACTTGCGACCTCCAAACAAGTTAGTGTTTGGAAACAGCTGTAAAGGACATTATATGTCATATGTCTTGGAATGGATCACTAAGGTATTAATTTACTTACAGCACGTGTTTCCTTGAAAATAAGTCCTACTGTGCTCTATGGTGTTTACTGCCTGGAAACGGCACTTAACACCCCATGGCTCATGCTAGCAGCTCTGAGAGACCCAAGGGGATGGGGGAATCCAATGTACACCTGTGTATAGGCTTGTTCACCTGTTAACAGTTCTAAGGAGAAATCTCCACCTGGGAAGAGTCCAATACATTCTCTCAAGCAACCCTCCTAATGGGGGAAAAGTGAATCAGGATATACTGTGTGTATTTGAACACTGTTACTCCTTTCTTTTCCTCTCTCCCCACCGCTCTTTCTCTCTCACTGTCACTCCTCACACACACAGATGCACACGCAACCCAAAAAAACCTCCCTTTTTCTTTCATTGCATGAGTTACATTTCATACTCAAATAAAATGTGGTTGCACTCTGGTTTGGTTGTAACTTTTATCCCATGGCAAGAGGCAAGGCCCATATCCAAGACTCATACTGGCTTGAGATTCCCCCTTCTCCCCCCCAAAGTAGAAAGTGAATAGGTCCATCACTCCATGAGAATGGCAACTGCTCCTCACACTTCAGTCTTGCAGAACGCTCCACCTTTCACACAAGATGACAACATTTGTGAGGTGTTTTCTGACACAGAAGAGAAGCTTGTGAGGAGCTTTGCATGTGTGTTAGAGCTTCTGTCGGACTCTGGATTGCAACGAATAGAGCTTACAGTACTTTGTTCACCAAGAATTCACCCCAGGAATCTCAGCCAAATCCTATTCCCACTGAGGCCACAGCAAACACCACTTTATAAACCATCACAGTGGCAAAACTGTTTTCAAGGGTTGAGAAGGGAGAGAAATCCGCTTAATCTTCAGTGTTAGTGCTTAAGAATCCATTAGTTGCAAAGCAACTGGGAACCTTCCTTTGTTAAGACGTTTTCATGTCCCAGACGAGTTCTCAGCGTAACACTGAGGGAAAATGACTCTTAAGTGTTACTGTGCCTCTGTGAACATTTGACACTGCCTGCCATTCTCCATTCCCCCTGCTGCTTCCGCACAACAAATGTGTAGCCAAAAATAGTTATTCCCAGCATTCATGTGAAAACATATTCAGCTTCTCAAGCTGAAGTTGCTTTGTTGCTATTTTACAGCTCACTTGGCAAACTCAGGCTTCACTTTGTCCAGGATGTTGTGGCAGCGCCATGTCCCCTGGGTCCCTCCTGACATCAAACAGGCACCTTCACTCTGCTGGTCTAGGCAGTGGCTGAAGAAACTTCTGTCTCAGAAAACCTATCCAGACGTTGTACTTAAATGTCTGGCTGATATTATATATGCTTTTAATTGGTTTGTATATTTTTGTCATGTTAATCATAGAATCGTAGAATTGGAAGGGACCACGAGGGTCATGGAGTCCAACCCCCCTGCAACACAGGAATCTCTTGCCCAGTGCGGCACTCGAACCCATGACCATGAGATTAAGTCTCATGCTCTACTGAGGTACTTGTTCTATATATAACTGCACTTGTATACCGCTTGGATAATTTGATCTTATTTTTTAACAAGTGGTTTATAAATTTTCAAATGAATAAAATACTTAAGACCTGTGTGCCCTGATAGAATTATTATTAATTACCTGCTCTTTGCTCTCAAGATCCCAGGGTGGGTTACAATGTTATAACACAGTAGTCCTCCTAGCGGTGCAGCAGTACAATTGCTGGCACATTTGCAAAGCTAAGCAGGGTCTGGTATGGTTTCAAATTGGGTGGGGGACTGTGTTTTGGGATTCCTGCATTGTTGAACTAGATGACCCTGAGGATCCCTTTTCAACTCCACAATTCTATGACTGCATGAGTATTAAAAAATGGTTTAAAACAACATAAAAAGGTCAAAATAAATAAAAACATTGTCCAGTAGCACCTTAGAGACCAACTAAGTTTGTTCTGGTTATAAGCTTTCGTGTGCATGCACACTTCTTCAGATGGTCTCTAAGGTGCTACTGGCCATTTTTTTTTTATTTTGACTGCGTCAGACCAACACGTCTACCTACCTGAAAATAAAAAGAAAGTGTGTCCTAAAAATAGGCAACTCAAGTGTCAAAAGCCAGGATAAAGAGGTATGTATATTCAGCATTTGCTGGAAGCTGTATAATGAAGGTGCCGGACGCACCTCTGTGGGGAGGGAGTTGCACAAGTGGTAAAAGGTAAAGGACCCCTGGACGGTTGTCCAGTCAAAGGCGACTGGGGTTGTGGTGCTCATCTTGCTTTCAGGTTGACGGAGCCGGCGTTTGTCCACAGTGGAACACTGTGACAGAAAGCAGAGCGCACGGAAACGCCGTTTACCTTCCTGCTGCAGCAGTACCTATTTATCTACTTGCACTGGTGTTCTTTCGAACTGCTAGGTTGGCAGAAGCTGGGGCAGAGCAATGGGAGCTCACTCGATTGCGGGGATTCGAACCACTGACCACCTGATCAGCAAGCCCAAGAGGCTCAGTGGTTTAGACCACAGCGCCACCCATCACACACCTTTTACAAGTGTTAATCTGTATTTCATACCATAGGTTTATTTCAATTTGCAAACTGCCTTGGGTACCTTGGCAGAAAGGTGGCATACAGTATAAATAAAACAAGGGGGAATTAGCGGAGATTGGAATGCAGGCATTCCCTTGGTCTCTTCATGAAAGTCTCCTGCTTTAATTGCCATGCTGTTTTAACAGCCTGGTGTATTTCTAATTGTTTTGTATTTAAACAATGTTGTGTAATTGGTTTTCATGTTTTGCAAACCACTTGAGTGCTACCTTGACATTAAGCAGTATATATGAATCAATAAAATGGGTTGTATGCAATGCTGGGCATAGTCAAAACAGGCCCACTGAAATTAATTGGCATGGCTAAAGTAGGTCTATTAATTTCAATAGGTCTGCTCTGAGTAGAAGCTGGTTGGCAGCAAACCAATAATACTTTGTTTCCCATAAGGACTGCAGAAGCGGAATTCAATCATTAATTTGTTGCACTTATTATAAGAACATATGAAAGTGATCTCTATAATAAAATTAAGAAAATGGCATTTCCAACAGAGAGTTTTGTTTTTGTTTTTTTAATCCATCGTAACGGCATTGTGAAGCAGATGGCAGTGCTATATGGGTAATAACAAATGCACTAAAAATCCTAGTTAAGGAAAGAAAAAAATGTTAATTTCTTAGTTTTGGGTGCTGAGCGAAGCAGAGGGTAAGATTAAGTGGAAGAAAATTCTACACATTTTCTAGGAGGACCTTTTCATAATAAGCATGTACAGCTGAGTTCTGAAAGGCCCTCCGGAAAATTTACAACCGCTAACTTATAAGAACATAGGGAGCTGCCTCTTACTGAGTCAGAAACGGAACTTTTTGTTCCATTTGTGGACTCCTGCTTGTTGAACTTTCATTTGTGTATTTTTATGCACATAGAATGTCAAGGATGCAGAAGGGAGGAAAAAACTGACTTTGCCAGCGCATACCAAAGTATTTGGTGTTCAGCAAAAATAAGGGCTTTCAAAATGCCCATCAAGATATGGCTGTGATCTACCACTAAAATGCATTTTGTAAGTTGTTATGTAAGGGACAGGCTTTATCACTGCCCAAAGGACTTACTGTTGGCTACTCCCCACATTCGCTCCTCTTGGAATTGCAACATCTGGTATGTAAAGCCCATTCCTTCCTCCCCAATGAGGTATTTTCTGGGAACTCTGACATCTTCAAAAAAGATTTGTGCTGTGTCGGATGACCGCATGCCCATCTTGTCGATTTTCTTAGCAATGTGAACACCTAAAAATAAGTGTTCGTGGAAAAAGTGACAGGAAACAATTAGTCCAAACGCAACCGTGGTATTTTCTTTTTAAAAGGTATAACCAAGAGTCTTCCTTTTTAAGCACATAAGATTTTAAAATTTAAGAACACATGCAAGTGTGTGTGTATTTAAAAAAACCCCAAGATAAGGTAAATACTTCCATTTCTACCTCATCTGTAAAAGCGGTGGTGCTGTTGTTAATCAGCAAATCAGAATTCTCAAGATTTAAAAAAGGTCTTGCTTTTCATAATCCTGAAAACAGGAACAGCTTCCTAATGAGAGTAAGCTGAATTTTAAAGTGAAAAATGTCAAAACTGCCCAGGTTGCTTATTATGGTAAAACGTTAGAATCTTGATTAATAAAGGAAACAAAACATGTAAAAAAATTTACAGAGAATTAGTATGAAATTTGTTCAGTCTTTCAGAGCGTCATTCAAGTATCTAAACCCTTGAGAATGTGCCCTCCATTCCCATCCAGAATATGGTTCTGAGAGCAAAACACCCACAACAATTAACCTCAGGTCATTCCAGGATAAGTGAGCTTTTAAAAAAGAAAAGAAAGGCATTTGGAGAAAATGGGAAGGAGTGGGTTGAGAGAAGGGAAAATTTCATCTTTGTTCTCTTTGCTGGGTGGAGGTCAGAATGAAATAGATAAATGCTATTTCTTTAAGGTCACATGACCCGAGACAGTCAGCAAAACAAGGCTGCGGAATCATCCTGGGCTTTCTTCTCTTTTTAACCATGTGTTGGCATGGCAGGGATAAGCAGCTGTGTGTCGGACTATATGGAAGCTAGCTGCCTTAAACCAAGTCAAGCCATTGGTCTGCCTAGCTCAGCATCATTCACTCCTGCTGCTAACAGCCTCCCGGGGTTCCCCCAAGGAGATGGAGGCAGTGTACATGGTTTCCCCCTCCCTATTTAATCCCATGAGCCTCTAGGGCACTTCCACTTAAAGTTTCAATCTTGCGTGTGTAATTAAGCCCATTAGCAGAGTGGAGTCCACAGTGACGCATGGAAAAACGAAAGCATGACTGAAAACATCCTCCAGATTCCAAATTCAAATAAGTTTCTGAATCTTGGCTGCGTAGCAAAGTCCTAATTTGTTATGTTTCTAAGGCCGCTTGGTTAGAACTGCACGCACATTTGTAATTCCAAAGGAAACAAAAGTCCACAGAATGACAATCAAAGCAGCTGGATTCAGTAAGGTTCAAAAACTAAGAGAGGTATTTCACCCTGGTTAGGAACAAAACAAAGAAGAAATAATTCAGGATTACTGGCCATTTTTAAAAGAAAAAAACAAACAGGCTGCAAGTTTAGCTATGTTATGACCAGACTTAATTTTGGTGAAGTCCATAAACTCAGTTCACATAAATTTTAATTGATCTCAGTCACGGTATTATCATTCCTTCCATTTGCATGTTCAGGCAGTGGGTGCTGTTTACTTATGTAGCCCAAACATCACCACCCACACACAAGGGAAGATATTAGCAGGCTTGAGCAGGGCGGAACCCAAGATTCACAGAAGTACAAAAAATATTGAGGGTGGGGGGAACCCCTAAGGAGGAAGGAGAAAACTCCAAAGCCAGCCTAATGAGAAATGGGGGCGCTCAATGGCCACAGAATGCTGACAGACCATTGTGGGAGGGTGGTAGCATTAATGGATCCCTGAACAGAGGCACTGCATGCTGCAACATTTCGTTGCGGATTCCACCTGTCCTTCTCCAATGCAAAAGAGGGGAGGGATCAGCCCTGAAGATGCATGAGAAGTTCATTGGTTTGTTCTTTTAACGGAAAAGGAGCAGTTAATGGAACAAAAGTCCTTTAATCATAAATGGATATATTTTCATCTGAGATTGTGGGCAGTGCCGACAATGGAGATTCCAGTCTTATCTGGGGGGAGAACAGTAATTTTCCCATGCAGAAAACATAGTGACTCTGATGCAGGAAACCCTACTATGGTCTGTTCATATCAAAATCGGCCACAACTATCTACTTATCCTTAAGTTGACCTGGAGGCCTTCACCAGTTGTCCACAAAGTCTCTGAGATCCCCCTCGCTGCCTCACAGCATCATGAGATGCTGAGAGTGGTTGTCTCTTTCTCCCATGAAAAGTACGCAGAGCTGAAGAAGTAAGTTTTAGTAATCTCAACTCTACATATAGTGGTACCTCGGGTTAAGAACTTAATTCGTTCTGGAGGTCTGTTCTTAACCTGAAACTGTTCTTAACCTGAAGCACCACTTTAGCTAATGGGGCCTCCTGCTGCCACCGCGCAATTTCTGTTCTCATCCTGAAGCAAAGTTCTTAAGCCAAGGTACTATTTCTGTGTTAGCAGAGTCTGTAACCTGAAGCGTCTGTAACCTGAGGTACCACTGTATATGTCTTTGGACATATTAAACTGACCCCAGCTTCAACCATATTTTGTACAGAAAGGTGGTGATGGCTCTGGATTTTCATTGGTTTGGACCCCGAATTGTGTCGTGGGGAAGCAATTTCTACAAACAGCCTTTCCACCTGAAGCCCTGACCACCACCATATCCCACATCACTCCCAAGCCGCCTCCAACTCCCAGGAGCAGATTTTTTCAGGAAGGGAGGTGAGGGGGTTACAGAAAGGGAAAAGGTAAGGCAGTAAAGCCTATTTCATGAACTGTTTTAAGTTCATGGGTGGAAAGTTGGCATTCTGGCCATCAGGTTTCCAGGTCACCTAATGAAGTTAAGCAACAAAAACAGTTTACACAGCAAAGAAATATATCTATCTATCTCCCGGCTGTAGCTTTGGTGACCGTTCTCCAAGACATACTAGATTGATAGCAGTATTGTTCAGTGTGTTTGGGTGTTTCAAGCCGTGTTTTTACAAGTATTGTTTTTTTTAAAAAAGAAATTAGAAATCTGTGGGTTCCTTATCTATTCCTACAATAGGTTACAAATTACCACATCAAACACATATCTAAGAGAAAGATGGTTTTACATTTCCGCTGCTTGGGGTGAGGGAAGGGGTAGAGACTATGCATAAAATATTTACTTTCCTTTCGTTCCCATTTCTCATTTCCCACCCATCCCCCCTGCGACTTTCAAACCATGACATATCATTTAGCCTCTCTCAAATGTGATTGATTACTTTAAGAGAGTATCTCATTTCCAGGCAACACTGTTTTCATTTGAGGTTGGAAGGACAGGTTAGGGAGGTCAGAGCAGAAGATGTTCCAGCCCTCCAATTTTTTTTTTTTTTTTATAAAATTTTTATTGGTTTTAGAAACTTTTTTAAACAAAAAAAAACAAACAAACACCAAAAATGACAAACATACACGTATAGTTTCAAACATATTTTCATAAACCTCTTTCCTTTGACTTCCCCATACCCCCCCCCTCTGCATCCCAATGCCCATAGTTCAACTAGCAACTCCCAATTGTTATTTTCCAATCTCTGTCTTCTTAGTCCTTTTTTATATTTCTAACCTTATATCCCTGTATCCCTTTGTTTCTGGAAACCACAACATTTTAGCATCCATTAAGTTTATAATAGTCCTTAAGATAACTTTTAAATTTTCTCCATTCTTCTTCCACCGTCTCTTTTCGTTGGTCACGGATTCTGCCTGTCATCTCAGCCAGTGTCATATAGTCCATCACTTTCATCTGCCATTCTTCCAGAGTGGGTAGATCTTGAGTCTTCCAATACTTTGCGATGAGTATTCTTGCTGCTGTTGTAGCGTACATAAAGAAAGTTCTATCCCTCTTTGTCACCAATTGGCCGACAATGCCCAAGAGAAAGGCCTCTGGTTTTTTAGAGAAGGTACATTTGAGTACCTTTTTGATTTCATTATAGATCATTTCCCAGAAGGCCTTAATCTTCGGGCATGTCCACCAAAGGTGATAGAAGGTACCTTCAGTCTCTTTACACTTCCAACATTTGTTATCGGGCAGATGATAAATTTTTGCCAGCTTGACTGGGGTCATGTACCACCTGTAAATCATTTTCATTATGTTTTCTCTTAAGGCATTACATGCCGTAAACTTAACACCGGTGGTCCATAACTGTTCCCAGTCAGCAAACATAATGTCATGGCCAATGTCTTGTGCCCATTTAATCATGGCTGATTTCACCGTTTCATTCCAGCCCTCCAATTTTTGGTACTACTGCCATTTCCCCATATAATTTATTACATTTGCATCCTGCCTTTGTTGCATCACGGAACTGAAGGCAGCAGACTTGCAGTTCCCAGGCAGTCACCCATCCAGGCACAGGCCAGACCCGGACCTGCTTAGCTTCAGCAAGCTGGTGGCCGCATGCGCCTTCACAGACACTCACAAAGACACCCTTTTTATTACCAGGTAGCTTCATCGGCAGACACAGAAGAGATTTGTTTCTGTGAGGTGGTCCGTCGCTAGTGTTTGCCAGCAAGCACATCCAATCTGCCTGACAACCAGATGTAATCCACATTTTGCCACCATTTATAATATAGTCGTCTCCTTTTCTTACAGCCTTCGTCTTGATGCCTGTTCAAAAGTAAATAAGTTGTTAGGTGTACCTCTTCCAGAAATAAGGGGTCTAAAAAATCTTTTCAGGCTGCACAGGGCTTTGTGCAACAGCACCAGCATACTGGAACTTAGCCTAGTAGCTAACTGGCAGCCAGTGCAATTATTTCAGCAGTTGTGTAACACGATGGTTATAGTCTGCCCTAGTGAGCTGAGTTGAGCCACTGCATTCTGCACTAACTACAGCTTCTGAACCAACCTCAGAGGCAGCCCCACATGTTGCCATTTGCATTGCAATATCATGCAAAACACTAGGCCCTTTCCCCCCGCAAGAGCCCATTCTGCAAAGCTTTTTCATAACAGCATGCAATGTCCCAAATGCTGTAAGATTATGATCCACAACCCTGATGAGGAACCCTTGTCGCTACCAGCTCAGGAAGCCCACTTGCAGAAAATCTTTTCCATACCCAGGGTCCCAATTTCGTGTAATTTCTTTTCTTTTTTTTAATGATATTTATTAAAGGTTTAATAGTTACAGAAAAAAGAAAAAGGAAACAATAAAAAGTTAAACAAAACAAAAAAATACCTTACAATACATCAAAAATGAAAAGAAAAACAAAAAACAATACAGCAAAACTACAAAAAAACAACATTTAAAAACACATCCAATATTTCCGTAACTTTATCTTTCATTTACTTGTTTCATCGACCTCCTCGCACCTCCCTTTTTTGTATTCTAGTTCAATTATTTTTTTCAGCAAATCATTTCCATCTTTCTCAATTTTTGTTCTATAATTTATCTTAACACAATCTGACCTTAAATTTTACACTTTGGCCCATTAACAATCTATTTTTACTTAATTCTTTATAACATTTCTGCTAAAACCATATAACTTCATTCCAGCATCCTTCTAACATTCATTAAAAAATATGGAACGCTTCACGAATTTGCATGTCATCCTTGCGCAGGGGCCATGCTAATCTTCTCTGTATCGTTCCAATTTTAGTATATGTGCTACCGAAGCGAGCACTCAATTTCGTGTAATTTCAACAGCCCTCTGCAAGCTAGTAAGTTGCAGCTCAGGCAAGAGTGATCTACTCTCCGCACTGCAACCGCTAGACATGGAGGAAGAGGGAGGGGAAAGCAGTGGTCCCTCCCACTTTAAGTATGGCTCCACCTATCAGTGGCATGCAGCCCTTGACAGACTGCCTTGGAGAGAATGTGACAGAAAAGGTTACTCGTCCATGCCCTATAGCATAGCAACTAGCAGCTTAATCTCCTGCACATCTGTGAAACTGAGAATGTAAACACAGTTTACTGGGTGATCTCGGGCCAATCACCATTTTGCAAAATTAAAGTTTCTGTGTTGTCTGCGTGGGGCAGAGGGATTGTGTGTGCGTCACCCTGAGGAACTTTGAGGAGAAGCAAGATCCAAAAACATGATGAAATGAACACCAGCTTACACACCTTATAAAAATCCTAAACTTAGTCTATTTACTTACTTGCAACATCTGAGCCTGCACCAGGTTCGCTGACTCCTAAGCAAGCCACAACATCTCCAGCTATACTTGGGGCAAGGAATTCTCTCTTCAGCTCTTCAGATCCAAATCTGCAATGTGAAATATTCAGAACATTGTTTGCTACAATTCTGAAGATTTCTGAATGCAAGTGGCATTACAATATTCCTCTCCCCCCCCCCCATTTTTTTTCTTTGAACGGGAGAGCAATACTTTCATCTATGTCTTTTCAAAATACATGTTCAAAAGAGACAGAAGCCATGGAAATAACTTGTATGTCTGCAGAAGGGGAGAAACAAAAAGAAACCACAGCAAAATAAGATTTACAATGTGGCTGTCAAGCAAGTAAGGAAAGGGCACTAAGAGGCAGCTTCTTCTAAGGAATGAGAACCAATCCAAATGGACTGGTGGCTTGCTGGGGCAATTGACAAATGCCCTGTTTTTGCAATACCCCCCTTCTTTGCAGTCCCTGGCAAGCACCCAAAAACAAAATACTCCAAACATATAGGGACACAGGAAGCTGCCTTATACAGAAGCACCTGCTCACACAAAGGGGTTTCTTTGTCGATGACCATACTCAATGCTTCTACGTTCATGTATTAATTTACAAGGCCCTTAACAATTTGAGTCCAGGATGCCGCAACGGCCAGCTAATCCCATATATCCCTGCCCAATCACTGAGTTCTTGGGGGGAGTCGCTGTTAAGAGCCCCCCCCCCCGGTGCTTGGATGCACAGCTCAAATACAACAGGAGCTGTGTGTTTAGTATTGTGGGCTCAATTTTACACAATGCCCTTCCAGTTGAGGGACAAGAGGCTTCCCTCCTTCCTGAACCTCCAGAGTCTACTGTGGACTTCTTCTTTTTTTGCAAGCAAGCAAGCAGGCAAGCAAGCATTTTAACTAAAGTTTGATTTTATAGATTTAACTGATTTTTCTGTATTGTGTTTTTGTAAACCACTTAGAGATTTATTATAAATTGCTCAGACAAATAAATGTGCAGACTTTGACACAGCCCTGCTCCTGCCCTACATGCAAACCATCCATGAGCGGAACTGATGTTTCAACTCCAGAACAAAATGTGAATGCAATTCTGTTGAATGGAGTTACAAAGAAGAGATTTATAAGGGCATCCGAACACTATTACGTTTACCACACTCACTTCTTCCACGCAGATGCCTGTGTATCCCAGGAAAATGCTTCCCAAGTTCCACTTAAAGAGCAATCAATATGCTTTCTGGCAGATGGGAGTCTTGCTGAACTGTACAAAAACATGTCTTAAATGCCTGCACTTCATTCTGATTTAACTGGAGGGGGGGCATTTGTTCCCTTCTCTTAATATGAAGGAGGGAGGCAGGGAGACGAGATGGTACTCTTTCTTCTTTCACATCCCACAGGGGAGGAAAAAGGAGCCGTGCGGAGCGTCGTGCAACTGAATTAATTAAATCTAGAGTGAGGAAAGTTTCTAATTAGGACTGACACTTTATGACATACCATCAGTGGGGGGGAAATTGTAGCTTCAAGTAGGAACAGCTGCAGGTGAGTTCTTTCACATTCCACATTTCATTAAACCACCCTACGCTCGCGTCTTTCTAAGCGCCACGTCAAATGACCCACTTCAAAGGAAATGGCAGGTCTTCCAGGACGAGTGCAGCACTTGGCACACACAAGTGGCGCAGCGGATCTGCACAGAAGGGCATCGAACAGCTGATAACCCAAGACTGAGCAGCAGCAATACTGAAAAGAGTCAATCTTGAGAGTCACATGCTTAGGGAGGGTTGAATATATCCATTTCTGTTTCTCTCCGTTTCTTGTTTTTCCATTCTTAAGTTTGGTTCTCCGCATCAGTTTGCAATAATAATAATAATAATAATAATAATAATAATAATAATAATAATAATAAATAAATAAATAAATAAATGAAACAGTGCTCCTGAAAAAGTCTCCTAATAAGACACATTTCTGGAACCAATTTTTGCTCTACACGTGTTTTTGCTAAGCAAACATCCTCAATGTAACAGATTTTTTTGGTATGTTGAATGCACTGCAATATCTGGAGAAGTGTGAGTTTTGAAGGATGGGGGATGACTTTCTGCAGGGATTGAGTGTGTGATCAAGTTCCCTGCAGTGAACTCAGATAAGCAGCTGATTCAGCTGCATCTCCACCTGCCCCACCTGCCATCAGGTATGGGGAAAGTGGCCGTGGTTGGGGGAAACAACCTTATGGGCCAAAGCTGGCTTGTGGACTGCAGACTCTCCACTCCTGCTTTAGAAGTTTTATTCAAAAATTACTTCCTCAAACCTCCGTGTTCCCTTAAGCATGGCGGTGCCACCCTTTTGTTGGAGACCTGCTATGGGCTGCACTTCCATTGCCCCTGGAGTTTGTTATTAGAGGGAAGGCTAAGCAGTCCATTTGAGCTCCTGCAATTCCTTTGGAAAAGAAGTATCAGGGTAAGTGGTTTAGGGTTTATTATGCAGGACTCTCAATATAATCAGAATTTCTTCTGCCAACAGTGCTGCAAAGATTCTTGTATTCCAGGCATGTCCAACAGGTCAATCGCGATCTACCTACCGGTCAATCGCAGGGTGTCTGTGGTCGATCATGGTCAAACTTTGGTGAAGCCTCCCCCCAAAATGCTCAACAACTCTGGTCATTCCTCCCCAATAAGCTCATCAACTCTGGTCATTCCCCACCCCCAAAAAACTCAGCAATTAACTGTGGTAAATCCAATAGGCAGATCACTGCCAGTTTATTTATAGTGGGAGTAGACCAGTCTCTTGGAAGTTGGATTGCCTGTTGTATTCATTTCTCAACCAATGTCCCTTCCCTGCCTCCTCCCATCTCTTTTAGTGCAGCATATTCTTGCAATTTCCATGAGACATTTGTGTAGCTTGTAAATGGATGTGATTAGTATCCCAGAGGCTGTCATTGCCACATGGTGTTGAAAAAACACAGCAAACGTAAGCCAAAACACTGGGGGGGGGGGGGGTGAAGCCATGTGTCAGCTATTTATTGATTTGTTTAAAAACCACAGGGAAGAATTAAATATAATAAAAGCCTGTTCTGGGGAATTCTTTCCACAGTCTTATTGCATCAAGCTGCCATTTTTATCCTCAGCAGTACAATAAATGGGCCAGAGTTTGGGAGGAAGCAATCGATATGTGAAATTATGGCAACCCGCACGTTGCCAGGGGGTTTATACCACACATGTTTAAAAGGAAAAAGAAAATGCTATTTGGAAAGATCTCTCTGCGGGAAGCCTTCATATCGAACAAAGAATGTTCACATTTCTAACTTGTCTGGATAAATTCACGAACAGGGGTGTTAATTCAGAAAGGAGTAGAGGTGGGAAGACAAGCAAAATGAATTTTACACCTGGACTTGACCAATTCCAAATTCAACTTTAACCACACGGTTGGATTACTGCAAAGGACTTTTTGTGGGGCCACCCTTGGGGTTGGTCCTGAGGCTACAGGTGGTGCAGAACATGGAAGCTAGGTTGCTTGTGGGGGGAAATTACCACCAGCATATAACGTATTGATTGCAGGATATTCACTGGCTGCCGATTTGCTACTGGGTCAAGTCCAAGGTGTTGGTACTAAAATCTACAGCTCAGGACCAGGTGACTTGAGACACTACCTTAAACCCAATGGTCTGCAGGAAAGCTTCTTTGGCAAGTTCCACAAATCTCAGAAGCCTGGGCTCCAGTAACTCAGAGCAGGGCTTTCAGTATGACTGCCCCTGTACTGTAGAATAATGTTTCTGTCAAAATATGACAGGCACCCATTATCTCCACTTTCTGGAAGCAGCTGAAGACATTTCTCGTCCCAACAGGCTTTCCCAGCTGGGTGAATGGGTCTCTGCCACAGGTATCTATCCTGTATTGTTTTAGTTTTATTTTAAATGTATCAGCTGGTTGTTGTTGTTTTGTAATACCATTGGCTGTTTTAATTGTACACTGCCTTAAGATGATTGTGTGCAAGGCCAACAGTAATTAATGATAATGAGGCTACATGTGCTTAAATCTCAATCCACAGGCTTCCTTGATAGTTGACAACACAACAGAAGGCAATCTCTGCCCCACCAAGAAAGCATAAACAGGTTGTCTCAGAGGCTAGGGTTGTCTCAGAGGCTTGGTAACCTCAAGTCTGGATTACGACAACATGCTGTATGTCAGGCTACCCTTAGCTTTGCTCTAGAAGATTTGGTCTGTGGTGCTTTTAATGACCACCTTACCCCCTATGTCCAAGTAAATTACTGAGAACATTTGGGAGAACATTATTAGTGGGTCCTCTGTGGTCCAGAAACATGACTTGTGTCAACAAGGAGCCATGCCTTGAGTGTTGTGGGCCCAACTCCATGGAACTCCCTTCTATTAGAAATCAAGCAGGCACCATCTCTGGTAGGTTTCAGGTGTCAGGTGAAAGCTGTTCTATTTCAGAAGGATACTGTTTTGCTGGAAAAGCTGCACAAAAGGGCAACCAAAATGATCCCGTGGCTGGAGCAACCAACATTTTTGACTTAATAGTTTAGGGGGGAAACTGAGCAATGGTGATGGAGACATGGCAGGCATAAAAATTATGAATGGTGTGGACAGAGAGAACTTTTCAACAGCGTCTACATACACAAGTTTCTAAGACAGGTGATAATAAAAATCCCTTTGAGATTTTCTTTCATGGTATTTTCAACTCTGGTGTCTACATGTTAAATTGTTGATGCTCCTATGATTCTCTCATCCTGAATTACTTCCATCCATCTTCTTGCAAATTAACTGTCCAATCTTGTTCTTGTCTCTATTGAGTTGGGTGGCAATATTACCTGCTGAGAGTTTATTTACTTTTTTTTTTACCTTGAGGCTCGTCTCATCGGCAATAGTAATGGTACTGCAGTGGAAAAAATAATGTAACATGGCTTCTATTTCCTGAACTCCCAAACAAGATAACCAGCAGCTTTGATAAACTAGAGCGATTATCGACCTGCCAAAGAGGTGGGTGTTGGTGAGCTGCGATAATATGCAGGCTCAGGTGTACAGAACCATTTCTACTAATGGATTTTTCTATGTTACCTTTCCTTCTAATTTGCAGAGTGGTCTTTGATCTTCACAGCATTTGCCTTCAAAACAACTGCTAAGTAGGTCAGTTCCCATATTACAGATGGGAAATTGGTGAAGAGTGCACACCTTGCCCCATACGATGTTCACAGAGGCAGCTGGAGGGGCCATCAGTCAGGCGGTGAGCCAGCTTGACAATGTGAACACATGTGGGAAAACTTGACAGTGAGATGCTGATCTGTTATCCAGGTACTAAGAGTCAACAGCCTCCTTAGATACGGTTACACCACAAGATAGATAGGAAGGCACTTTCCCACTCCCAAGCTATGTACTGCAGCTAGAGACCAAATTGGATGTCAAGGTGGTGATGAAGTTGATGATAACAATAATGTTTTGGGGTTAGCTCATCTATTTTATTTAGTGTTGAAATATGTGCTTATATCTCACAAACTATCTGGAAAAAACCTCTTGCATATTTACAAACTCACAAAAAAGATATGGCAATTACATATATGAAATGTATAGTATTATGGGGTTTTTGTTTTTCTTTCTCTTTTCTCTCTTCTTATATTCTCTCTTTTTTATTTTCTCGTTTTGTGTCTGTAATAAATGTCGTTGTGTTTTGATATTTTTTAATTCAAATCAATAAAGATTTATTAAAAAGAAAGAAAAAAGAAAAAGAAAAAACCCTCATTTTGCCCTTGCACCAAAATAATAGCAGCTTTCTTGAAATTAGTAGCAAGCAAATTAAATCAGGACCTTACCATTTATTGCAGATCTTTGCTGAATTGTGGTGAATACATAAAAGTAAACACATACCAGGCGAGTTAATAGTTACCCTATTTATTTATTTGTGGGATTTCCTAGATTGCCTTTTGTTAATTGATCCCAGGGCGATTCACAATAATTGAAACAACCAAATGCAGCATTTAAACAAATCCTCCAACAAGAATATAGCTTTTCATTAAAATCTGTGTGAGCTATTCTTTTTCCTTTGTGGTATTTTATGACTTTGGGTGAAACATATGTCACATTTAAAATCTTCCATTTTTGCCTTCCTTCATTATGCAGAGCTAGATTGAAAGCTGTAGCTCTCTTTCTGCTTTTGTAAAAAAACCTCACTGCCCCCTGAAGAACAAACCCTTTAAAGTCAAGAGAAAGAGCCAATGAGTTTTCTTGGGAAATCTACCTTGCAAGGGCAGGTGTCGCCATGTCAGCTTGTACTCCAATCGCCATGGGAACCCCTCCACAGCGAATATTTCCCAGTTCTTCAGCCACTGCAATACTGTATGAGAAGTCCAGGCCAAGGCCGCCATATTCTGTTATAAGAAAGGGAATTTTCTTCTTAAGAATTATAAAATGGTATTCAATCAAATTTGTTGTTGTTGTTGCTACTACCACCACTTAATCTATATTATGGAAAATTGGTTGTTCACTATGCATTTGGATACCTCTTAAGCTATCGTAACCTAATTTTTGAAGGATGGTCCCTCACAGAAAAGAGTAGGTTTTCATCTATGCTTGGATACAACTGGATGTCGTTTTAAATCAAGATTGTAAACTGAATTTTTCAAAACTGATTTTTGGCTTTCTAAGAATTCCCGATCAATGCTGGCGAAGCTACCAGTATCCTATTATGCAGCTTTCTCTGACCTGATATTTTGCATTCCAACGACCTTCAGCCCCAGCCAGCATGAGAAATTGTCATGGACTGTAGTCCAAAATATCTGAAGTATGTGAGGAATCAAGTGTTATACTGTTTGTACATCTTGTAAAGCCAAACTATAGTTTACTGGGACTGCAGAAACATGCAGGCTCCTGGGGAGGAGCTCACAGCTCCTCTAAGTGCTCAAGGGATGCCTGTTTGCACTGCTCGCTTAATACCCGATTTAAAATCATGATTAAGAAGAATGCATACATTGGTAGAAAGCATCTTCTAAATTCTCTTCTTAAAGGTTATTCCTCCCATTTCCATCACCGGGAATAAACTTCCTAATTCATGCTTTTTTGTCTGAAGTTATATATGCGGGAGGTAGTGGAGGACAGAGGTGCCTGGCGTGCTCTGGTCCATGGGGTCACAAAGAGTCGGACACGACTAAACGACTAAACAACAACAACATATATGTACAGCCTAAAAGGATTTTTAGCAATTGACATTAAGAAAAACTCATAAAGCCCTCATATTTTGAAGCAAATGGCATTTGTTCAATTACGGAAATATACCAGAAATCATAGGCTAGGATTTATCCAGCGTTGTTTTGCTGATAGCATGGCTTTAAGTTGATGTTAATGCTTCTCTAAATGGGACTTATTTCATTAGTCTGGGCTGAAAGAAGTCAGGTTCTTGACTTGCTCCACTGGTTTGCTCCTCTGGGACATCTGTCGGAAAAGAAATTAAGTCTCCACCAGGGCAAACTACAGAGTACATACCAGCTCTATTTTCCCACACATGTACGGTTAAGGGGGACCATTACACAGCACTGACCAAGCTCGGACATAAGTACGTTTCTTCAAAGCTCAAACTCTAGAAAAGGACCTCGAAAGTTACACCAAATCTGGTGCCTACGGTTGGTAATGATGCAGCCCTCTTGAAAAGAAGGAAACCTGGAGTTGCCTCTAAGGAATTTCTGCTCAGAATTGGCCCATTAAAACTCATCAGCCTAACTTAGCCATGTCCATTAATTTCAATGGGTCTACTCCGAGTAGGACGCGGGTGGCACTGTGGCTAGCCTAGGACAGAGCCTAGGTCTTGCCGATCAGAAGGTTGGCGCTTCGAATCCCCGCAATGGGGTCAGCTCCCGTTGCTCGGTTCCAGCTCCTGCCAACCTAGCAGTTCGGAAGCACGTCAAAGTGCAAGTAGATAAATAGGAACCGCTCTGGCGGGAAGGTAAACGGCATTTCCGTGTGCTGCTCTGGTTCACCAGAGGCGGCTTAGTCATGCTGGCCACATGACCCAGAAGCTGTCTGCGGACAAACGCCGGCTCCCTCGGCCTATAGAGCGAGATGAGCACGCACCCCCAGAGTCGGTCATTACTGGACCTAATGGTCAGGGGTCCCTTTACCCTTTAACTTAGCCATACCCATTCATTTCAATGGGTCTACTCCGAGTATGACTAGCAATGGCTATACCCACTGGGCTCCACAGAGTGTGGTATTAATTGGCTTAGATTCAGATTCAGAAGAATTCCACTCAAGGGGCGCTCCTGCCAATAGAGGTGGAAGGAGTGACTTTTGACAGTTCGCTATTCTTGTACCCTGCAAAAATCTGCTCTGGAGAACTTGGGGACTTATTGTAATGAGGGAAGGGGGCTGCAGGGGGAGAGGAAATTTTTTAAGTTAATAAAATGTAAAATCTAGAAGCAACAATTTAAATGCATAATAAGCTGACTTCAAGCTGCTTTTCATATGCAAATGCCAACATTACTCGAAACCTGACAATCATCTCTCAGAGTCCAGAACAATGAGGAAAGGCACTTTTGTGAAAAGGTTTGATCTGCCACATTTTACCAGCTATAGAAAAACACTCAAGGGGGCAGAGGAGATTGCTGTCCTCTCACAAATATGAGCATTAAACATACTGATGTATTGTGATTCAGTGGTTTTTGCTGTTCACGAAAGCTTAAACCATAATAAATATGTTAGTCTTTAAGGTTCTATAAGGCTTTCGTTGTTTTTTGCTGGACGAGACATAGCTACCCCACTAGAAACCATAAAAAAACTACAAAAAAACTCTTCTCCCTTAACACATGCACACATAAGTTTTATGTGTATGCCTCCTTTCCGCAGTTCAAACTATGCTCAAGGCAGCTTGCAACATGAAGAAGAGGCACAACTACAGTGGTACCTCAGGTTAAGAACTTTATTCATTCTGGAGGTCCGTTCTTAACCTGAAACTGTTCTTAACCTGAGGTACCACTTTAGCTAATGGGGCCTCCCGCTGCCGCCACACGATTTCTGTTCTCGTCCTGCAGCAAAGTTCTTAACCCGAGGTACTATTTCTGGGTTAGTGGAGTCTGTAACCTGAAGTGTCTGTAACCCAAGGTACCACTGTATAACATAACAAAAGTAGTCATAAACAATAAATAAAACAATAAAAAATACTGAACAATTTCCACATAAATCAAAACTTAGATTCAAAACTAAGATACACAGACCAACAGAAACAACAGCAGCACCCCAGTCGGAGATGTCAGAACACAAAATTTGTAAGTGTAATCAGCACTTTGCCTAGTTGAACATCCTAGAAAATGATAATTCCACAAAGGGCATTAGCAGTTCCCCTGCAGTGCAGGCTGTTCAGACACAAGCTGGTGTAGCACTGTGGTTGAGGGAGCTATACATCTGTAACCTCCTGATTCAAATGTCACCTCGGCCATGACCTCACCCGATGGACTTAAGCACATTCTTCTCCCTCAGTTTCAATATCCCTTTCTGCAGTGAGTGGGGATATAATCATACAGACTTGCCTTGAGGGATTCATCATCATCATCATCATCATCATCATCATATTCCAGACCAGAGATAAAGCAAAATGAGAAAGCTAATCTATTCTGACACTTCCATTATCAGGCTATTTCCAGGACTACTTGGCAAACGTGATCTTCATGCCCACCTGCCTGCTAGCCCAACACATTTTCTACAATTTACCCCTGCATCCATTCCTCTCCCTTTCTGCCGTTGCCTCCCTTGTGCAAAATTTTGGAGCAGGAGTAGGGGACCCCCAACTCCCATCTGCATGGCCATTAGCCATGGGAACTGCAGTTCAGAACTTTGATAGCACTATATAAATGATACACAACTTGAAACAAATCTAGCTGCAAAAGACAAGACCCCCCCAAAATTTAAAAATTCTGCAATAGCAATACAGGCATTTGACTATAATAGTACCTGTCAATGCTAATTGCAATACAATTTATCACAGATCACACAGCAACGCGGTGGAATGCATAATTGCTTTATTAAGAGGTTCAAAGCCAATAAAGTAACACACATGGATACACTGAATATGCATTGAATGGTCCGTCAAGCCAAGAGCAGTTTTAAAAACAAATGCCCTATTCTGTATTAACTAATGCATAAAATACCAAACAAGATCATGCAAAATTCTAGTTGGCACCTATTCAGGACCCTGCCGCTGATTTTAATTAACCTTATTTCATTTTGAAATGTACAAACAAACCTCTTCTCAGGCTAATTTAAATTCATCTATTTCATAAGGCCCCTTCCCCAATAGTTATTTCAAAGGCATCTGGTTTTCTTAAATAAACACGCTATGAGGGTTAGGCATGTTACATTTCTGTTGCACCCTTCCATCAGGGGGACATGGATTTCTCTGAACATCACAAACATGCAGTTTATCCTCCTATCAGGGGGTATATAAGAGAGAGAGAGAGAGAGAGAGAGAGAGAGACAGACAGACAGACAGACAGACAGACAGACAGACAGACTGGTCCAAGGTCGCACGAGCTTCATGGCTGAGTTGGAATTTAAAGAGAGCCTGTGGTTCTCCAGATGTTGTCAGGCATCAACTCGTATCAGCCCCAAGCAGCATGGTCAATGGTAAGGAATGATAAGAGCTGTATCCAACAACATCTGCAAGGATGGGATGGGGCACAGATTCCACACTGCTATTCTTGCTAATATGGAACCTCTTATTAAAGGAAGTTTGACTAAACAAAAGCTTAAACCAGGGATGTTTTAAATACGCTTTTATTTTATTTTAAATTGTGCTGCTTTAATTTTTTTATGTTTGTCACCCTGGGCTCTGACACCCACTTAAAAACAGTTTCAAATTCTGTTTATAAATAACAGCTATAGACGTTTGCCAGCATAAGCAGTCAAGTGGATATGTGGGCACAATAAAAGAGGGAGAAGATATAGCAACCTGTTCCCTTGACCCTGGATCTGAGATATATTTACAATCAACACCAGCTTTTCCATCCAACGATTCCATCCAAAGGTAAGCTGCATTTGTGCCATACATTTGAAGCAACCTCTGGGGAAAAGAATTCTGGGATCTGTATTTTGTCAAGAGTGCTGGGAATTGCGGCTCTTTGAAGGGTAAACTACAGTTCCCAGGATTCTTTTTTCCAGGGGTTGCCTGAAATATATGTTGTGTACACAACCTACGGCTCTATTCCTCCCTACATCAGGAAAAGGGGAAGGGTAGAAAAGGATGGCAGGCCATTACTTTTGTGGTGAGGGCAGAGGAAAGAAGGTAGAGAAAGAAAAGGTGGAGGGGGCAGAACCAAAACATAATGCTTATTAAAAAGCCTTGGAAACCAGAATTAATGTATAACTGTTTAATTTTTTTAAAACA